ATTCAAGATTGGGTGAAAAAATTTCAAGTCGAGCTAATAAGCGGAAAAAAAAAAGAATTTACTCATTAAAAATCTGTTTTTACAAAAAAAAAATAAAAATAATAATAATAAAAAAAATTACTACAGCCCAACTATTCCCCCCTAAATCCGTCCCTGATATGGTGATACTTTCTCTCTTTATATTAGAAGTTGAGAGATTTTTGTCTTTCTTAATTGATATGAGGATGGTAAGTTTCTCTGTAGAAGATAAGTTCTCTCTATAAATATTGTGGATGAAGTAATTCAAATCCTAATTAGTGGATTTGTAGAACTGTAAATTAAATATATTGTTTAAAAATTCCTAAACGACTTATTTATTTGTCAAGTAATTTTTGTCTAGCCTAATTTCTAGAAAGAAAAAAAATTAGGGTTGAATCTAATGCTTGTTCGATAGTAATTATGATAATTGATTTTTTGATTGTTACAGAGAAAAATAGGCCCCACTTGTGAGTGAAAAAGACAAAATTGACAGCAAAAATAGTGAAATAACGATCAAAAAATTAATTTCTTAGGATGAAAAATTGCTACCAAACGGAGCCTAATTTTCTCATCTATTTCTTTTTTCTTTATTATATCTAATGGGCTTTCTTGTTTCAAATTATATCCAGCCCATATACCCTGAAGAGCCCATTTGATAAGGCGAACACTTCAACCACCCATATATTGCGAAGAGCCCATTTGACACACTAAATTCTGTGCTTAACAACAACGGTGACGGTGCCAAGATGATATATTAGAATATTTCTATCTAATATTTTCGATTAATTATATAGACATAAAAAGGATAAGAAATATTTTTCCAAATATTAATAAGAATAGAAGATAATTTATTCTTCTCGAACTCATCGCATTATCGAAGTTTATAAACTATTTCATTTCATGCGTGCACAATGAAAAGTCACTTGTACAACTTGCTCTCACAATATCTATTTCGGGACTAGATTATCTTATCAGAAACTCATATGCTAGTCAAAAAAAGTGTTTTCAAATCTTCCTTAAGAATTGCGATTGTTTTTAAACCTGGGCTTTTGGTCTTGTTTTAGGTCAAATAATCCGAGATTTTGAAAGAATTCTTTCCATATGTTAGACATGATATTATAACATTCACTAATAAAAAGTTGGAAAAGGCTAGTTGTTTTGTCATTACTTCATCGACGACAATGCATCATTTTTTAATAAAGTCAATTAGCTAGATTGAAAAATAGGGAGTGAAAAGACAGAATGATATGTTAGAAAATGATTCGGTGTTTTGTTTTAATTTTTGAAACTATGCAATCATGCTTCGACGCGTACGTGTTCCATCTGAATTTGAGCTTGAATGTGTAACATGATTGACCATTTTTTGTCAAGTCGTTAGCAATCAACCTATCAATGGTCACTTGGCTCCAGGTTCTAAAATTTTACATATTTTAATGTTAAATTGGTTATATTTGGATGTATCTTCTTAAAGACATTTTCAAACAACTTTTGGATCATGTATAAAGATGGTTACATTATTTGACATAAAGTATATACTAAAGTCTAAAGAAATCTTTTGGTTGCATTCTCAAGATATATACGAGGATGCAACTATTCTAAATTATTTGATTTAATATGCGATTATTCTAAATTATTTGATTAATATGACAGTTATACTAAGATTTAATCATGCTTCGGACATGCTTAGTTAATACTTGTTCGTTGTATTTAAATAGAAATTAAATTGACTCTGTACTTTGCAACAAAATCGGTGACATAGAAGCGAGGAAATTTCGTTTATTCATTAGTATTTTTGTTTCATTGTGTGTGTATACACATTATAAAGAGAGACAAGTGAGATTGCATTTATACAAAAATATACGGAAAATAAAAATAATTAGATGAATATTCTGTGGAAACAAGTTGAAGGAAGTAACAATTTGGTCAATTCATTTTTATTTTAAATTTCGACGGTGCACTGAATATGAACTTCATATACCAAGAAAATATTTTTAAATATCTATTTCCTAGAGAAGTTATTTATTTATTTATTATTATTATTTTTTACATTACCAAATAAGAAAAACACTAATATCCAACTAACTTAAAATTAAGTAGATTTTTCTTGACATTCATATCATGGACTATAAGCTTAATAACGTACATGAGTCTACGAGAATTACGTCTATATATTAATGAGGGTTTCATTATAACAAGTAAGAAGATGATTATCCACGAACTTAAGTATCTTCCTTTTCTTTTTCTACTAAGATTAACGTTTATTATGATATTCTTTATACAGAGAAGAAATCGAACAATTCTGATAAGTAAAGAAAGAATAGAAAAGAAAATATAGAATAAAATTGAAAAGTAAGACCGAGATCACACGATTTTTACAATATCACAAAAATAAAATAACTTGTACAAAAATAACTACTCTTAAAAATTCCAGAGATTCAACTCAAGTGGATATCGATTATTTCGTGTCGAATGGGATGCGAATCCCGAAAGATAAGCATGAACAATAGTCGGATGAAAACAGTATTGATAATTGAGATTTCAAATCATTTGGTTAATAAAAAAATTAAAACGTGAATGATGATCCATATGGGTTGGCTGTCGAAATATGTCTAGTTGACCCTATCACATGCTTTCACAATGTCACGGTATTAAAAATCATTATCCAGCTGTATACTGTATTTTAATAATAAAAAATTGATTAATATTATGAGTATTATTTTAACCATGAATTTTTTAAATGAATGCTAATTGTTAAAAAAAAAAAAATTATTTAGACAACTCACCTAGTAATTACATAATATTTTAATCTAAACTTTGGATTCTTCTATATTTCATCAATAATAGTCTACTATCTATACGAAGGAAAACAGTGTAGAGTGTCAAAAACCATGCACGTATTTTAAATGTCCATGGTCATGCCAACCATGACCATTTGTGCTTGCTCCGAGAGTGATGGTTCTATATTTTTCTAGTTTTCTTGTCATTCTCTTTTTGTTTTTTTCAATACTACAATGCGCATGTAAACGGTGCAGTAAAACAAATAAGAAGAAGAAGATGTATGTAAAACAAAGAAAGAAAAAATTACATAAAAAATATTTTAGAATTCAAGCTCGATGATAGTAGCTTCATCCAATAAATATAGTTAATTTAAAAGTTGAATCATACTTGGTGTACAACACTTGTACACGAAGCATGACACGTGAGGGGCTGTAAACTTGTAGCGATGTACTAGCAAAATAGCCCTTGAAAGTTATATTGTAAGTGAGTCCAAATGTTATGTCCTTTGTAGAAATTTATATAGCATCTATGTGGTGTTGATTTTTTAAGCTAAAAAATTAATTTTTTTGGCCGTTACTTAATCGATCAGCCCTTTTTTCTCCATTTTGTATGTTGTATAGAGATGAATAAATTTATCAATATAAATGAATAATTCTAGTAGTACAATAATTTAGAAGTAGAGAAATGTATAAAGTCAATATAAAAGTTGTAAAAGATTTGATTCAATTCCAGTAGTCCATTTCAAATCTATTAAGAATATTCACTTGCATATAGCTTAGCAATACAAGATTAGAATATCTATGTAGGAAAACTAGATGGAGGAATCACAATAAGACCAAAGCATCATTCTCAATCTCATGTGATTATAAAAAGAGCACAATGAATGCATAAAAGGTATTAATATTATTGTTAATGTTTTAAACAAATTATTGGAAATTTTTTTTATATTGCTACTGAATTGTATAATAAACATGGCCCCGTTTGGTACTCATTTTTTTAAAAATACATTTCTCCCTCTCTTCTTTTCAACCACACATTCTTCATTAAAATAATATTACACGTAAATCAAAAACTTTTCTTTATTTTTCAACCACACATTTTCCATCAATTTACTATTTCAAAATGTATTTTTACATAAAAATGGCTCACAAACACCCTAGTTTCAATTTATATCTTTTATAAATAATAAATCTTACTAAATATGTCGAATTATACTCTGGTTAAACGTAAATTACACAACAAGGACTACTTTTTTTAATACCAACTCGACATTATGATATAATAGACAAGAAATCGTGAATGTACCGAATTTTATGTGCATTTTGGAAATTATATTATTTTGAAAAAAAAAAAACACAATTCAATCTAGACATAAAACATATTATACTGCTACAGATATCTTTCATAAATGAAATAGTATAATTCGTTATGGTGCGTCTATGCATATGCATGGGTATATATTCTTCTTTTATCTAATTAAATTCAATACTCGATTGTGTATTAGACGTGGATGCTACTATTATATTCACATTATTGATGTCCAATGAATAGATGATGAATTCAAATTTAATCTCCAATGCTAACATCTATAACTCAAATTTATTTGATGAGAGAAAACAAATAACAAATTCTATATATATATATGAGAGAGAGAGATAAGATTAAATATTCCCGACACACACTATCTAATGGAGCAACTACATCCAGACTGATTTCTTCATGATGTTTATTTGGTTTTCTGCCATGTTTCCTAGAGAGAGTTCCACTTAAATTATATTATAGTGGAATATTTAAAGATATATTTTATTTTTACTTATATCATATTTTTATGAAATCTAAAATAATATTGGAGATATACCAATTACAATAGTAGAATTTAAGCCTTGACACTCTTTAAAATTTTAATAATACATTTTTCTCTCTTTTTAATCAATAACATAATATAATACGGAAATAAAAAAAAAATTCTTTCTTTCTTAACTATACATTCTCCCAAAAAATATTATTTCACAGTACATTTTACCAAAGTTTCTCTTTGTAATGGGACTCAAACTTGCATTTAACAAGATGAAATAGTAGCCCACAAATTTTCAAGTGGCTTTGAAAACTCTCGATTTTGTATGACTCTGAAAATTGAGAAAGCATTCATTACCCACCTTCACCCCTACCCCTCTACTCAGCCGGCAACCCATGAACTAGCGCACACATCTGATTACAAATTATACACACAAAGCATACATATTGATTGAATATGTAAACAATTCATTAAACAATTCAAGAAGTTAGCTATGAACCATTAATTTATTATGTTTTTCAATTTTTTGGTGATGAGTCATGACCCATATATTAATTGTCTACATGTTCTTGACATGTCCAGTGAAAAAACAAAGTCCCATCTCAGATCTCTCCAATTCTTTGACATATGCAAATTCAGATTCATCCTAATTCTGTATGTAGTTACACGGTATCAAACCATGTCTGCAAAATCCACTTGTACCTTTGGGTTCTCAGTCAGCCAAGAATTGAATTCTTGATAGTTACCCTTCAGTACTGGTTTGTATATCATGTGTATGTGTAATTTCACCGCCTCTCTTGATTTGCCTGCAAAATCTTGTCTACTTTTTTCTTGGCTATTCTTCTATTGATTTAATCTTTGTTCGTTTTCAAGCTGGAATCAATTTTCTCACTGATCTTCTCTTGGTTGTATGAACAATAAGCACCTGTGTATTGTCAAGTCATTATATTCCCGTCTTGTCCCTTATTCCTAATTCGTTTGATCTTCGTCATGGTCAATGATTTTGAGCCTTGAAATTTGATCTTTGCAGTTGTAAATCCAGCCATCCAGGTACATCAGATTTGGTATTAGGGCTTCTCTTAAATGCATGTTTGGTTAAGAATAGAATTTACATTTCAAGTGACTTTTTGGCCAAAAATGTTGAGAGGTTTTTCAAAATTCAATTTTCTGGGGGATTTTTAGTTCATATTGTGAACAGTACAATATCAGTTTTTCATTTCATTCTTCCTATTCCTGGCTCTGAAATTCTTGAATTAGCTGTCTTCTACCTGTTGACGTGATCATGGGGAATTTGAGGATTCTGAAAATCACAAGCTTGTTTATTCTTTTTGTGGCACAAATCTGTATGTCTAGTGTTCAACGTATAGGGAAATTGAAGCCGGGATTCAAAGGATCTCAAATGAATTGGATTGACAATGATGGGCTGTTTTTAGTGTCCAACAATACGAATTTCGCCTTTGGGTTCATCACTACCCAAGACGTCACCTTGTTTCTGATTGCTGTGATTCACAAGGGTACCTCAACCGTAGTTTGGTCTGCTAATAGGGATTCTCCAGTTCAGAATTCAGACAGCTTTGTGTTTGATGATTCCGGAAATGCTTACTTACAAAGGGGGGGAGTGGAAGTTTGGTCATCGGATACTGCTAATAAAGGCGTCTCCACATTGGAATTGCTGGACTCAGGAAATTTGATTTTGCGTGGGAGAGACGGCAGTTTAATGTGGCAGAGTTTTAGCCATCCTACGGATACTCTCTTGATGAATCAGGAGTTTACCGAAGGAATGAAAATTGTAAGCAGTCCCAATTCCAATAACCTGAGCTACTCCCTTGAGATTAAATCTGGGGATATGATTCTTTACGTAGGTTTCCAAACCAAACAACCATACTGGGCTATGGGAAAAGACAATAGAAGAACAATCAATAAGGATGGTGATGGCATCACGTCTGCAACTCTTACTGCGAATTCATGGCGATTCTTTGACAAAGATAAAGTCTTGCTTTGGCAGTTTATATTTTCTCAAGATACCATATCAAATGCAACTTGGGTGGTGGTTTTGGGTGAAGACGGTTTCATCACGTTTACTCTTCTTCAAGGAGGTTCTTCTGTTCCCTCATCAGTAAGAATTCCACAAGATCAGTGTAGCCTGCCTGCTGCCTGTGATCCGTATTTTGTTTGTTATACGGGTAACAAGTGCCAGTGTCCACCAGCCCTTCCTTCTTGCAAATTGGGGACTTTTCCATCTTGTAACAATTCAAAGAATCCTGTGGAGCTCGTAAATGCAGGAGATGGCCTCAGCTATTTTGCACTTCGATATGTTCAACCATTTTCCAAAACAGATTTAAATGGTTGCAGAGATTCTTGTCTCAGAAATTGTTCTTGTGGTGCTATGTTCTTCGAGAGCAGTTTGGGAAATTGCTTTTTGTTTGATCAGATAGGAAGCTTGCAAAGATCCAATGAGGAGGGTAGTCTCTATCTTTCGTATATCAAAGTCCCTGGAACTGGAGGCAGTGATAGAAACACAGGACGTGGTGACAAGAAACGCTTCCCATTTGTTGTTATCATTATTATTTTCACAATATTTGTTATATTTGGTCTTCTTTACATGGGATTTGTTTTCCACCGGAAGAGCAAGAAATGGCCCGAGTCTCCTAAAGAGAGTTCAGATGAGGATAATTTCTTGGAAGGTTTATCCGGGATGCCAATCCGGTTTAGCTACAAAGATCTTCAGACTGCAACAGGTGACTTCAGCAGGAAACTAGGCCAAGGAGGGTTTGGTTCGGTGTATCAAGGGACTCTCCTTGACGGAACTCGACTTGCGGTAAAAAAATTGGAAGGAATTGGTCAGGGTAAGAAAGAATTTCGAGCTGAAGTTAGTATCATTGGCAGGATCCATCATCTTCATCTTGTAAGGCTCAAAGGCTTCTGTGCTGAAGGAACCCACCGGCTTCTTGCATATGAGTACATGGCAAATGGATCTTTGGATAAATGGCTTTTCAGGAAAAACAACGGGGAACATATTTTGGATTGGAATACGAGATTTAATATTGCAGTTGGCACTGCCAAAGGCTTGGCTTACCTCCATGAGGATTGTGATGTAAAGATCGTTCATTGTGACATAAAACCTGAGAATGTGCTTCTTGATGACAATTTTATGGCCAAAGTCTCGGATTTTGGTCTGGCTAAGCTTATGACTAGAGAGCAGAGCCATGTTTTCACCACATTACGGGGCACAAGAGGATACCTTGCACCCGAGTGGATCACAAACTATGCCATATCAGAAAAGAGCGATGTTTATAGCTACGGGATGGTGTTGCTTGAGATAATTGGGGGTAGAAAAAACTATGATCCTGCTGTGAGTTCAGAGAAATCCCATTTTCCATCCTATGCTTTTAAGATGATGGAAGAAGGGAAGTTGAAGGAAATTATTGATGCAAAGCTGAAAATAGATGAAGAGGACGAGAGAGTCAGTGTAGCAATAAAAGTTGCTTTGTGGTGCATACAGGACGATATGTACCTCAGACCATCAATGACAAAAGTCGTGCAAATGCTTGAACGTCTCAGTCCCGTGCCTCAACCGCCAACCGCTTCACAACTTGGCTCCCGGCTCTACTCAAGTTTCTTCAAATCAATCAGTGACGAGGGCACTTCGTCGGGGGGTCCATCAGACTGTAACAGCGATGCCCATCTTTCCGCAGTTCGCCTTTCAGGGCCAAGATAGCAGCTGCCGAGGAGAGATTCACGTGTAAATCGGGTCTTTGCTTTTGTAGTTTTTCTGTATGTTATTTAGATTAGTAGAAAATTTTGTGATACAAACCGTAATAAAATAATCGTATTATATTTGCACCTGTATTCTTTATCTGTTAAATTATAATACAAGGAAGTTGAATAGTTTCTGAATTGGATGCAATCACCAATATTCTTTTGTCATATGAGTTTGGTACTTATTTGAATTCTTACTTAGTCTTGACTCGGTTCAATTAGGGTAGGTTTGGTATGCAATATTCAACATTATTATCAATGTTATTTTAATTTTAACTTCTCCTTCATCTTTTATATTGTCCAATTCACCATATCAAACATGCCATAAATTGTTTGTGTGACTTCTATAATTAATTGTTGTGGCGTCTACTTCTTCATGTAAACAATCAAGCGCTACGCACGAAATAATAAGCATAATCTATTGTTTTTAAATTACAAATTATAATGAGAAATCTTTTACATAAACAGCTGTTAATATGAATGAGTTGATTGACTTTGTCTTGAAAGGACACCTAAAAAGATGCTCGTCTTTTTTCTTTGGATAATTGGCACAAAACGTTCCTACCTTTCATTTTTTGGCATTTTTGCCCCTATTTCCACATTTCTCTGCGTTGGACATCCTTTTCACCATTTTTTGACGTAAAATGACTAAAATACCCTCTTATTTAAATAAAACAAAAAGGAAAAGAAAAGGGAAAAAAATTGCAACTATAGGCCAAAACTTTTAAAAGTGCAAATAACCCCAATAAAACATCACCTTCTTCCCTCACCCCCCGCCCCCCGCACTTCCGCCCTCCACCTTCTTCCCACCACACCTCACTGACCAGTACGTGAATTGCAGAATGGCAGTTTACGATTCAAAATTAAATTTGAATAAATTCACCCCAAACACATACAAAATACTTGCAGCGTGGCGCCTGCAAATATGAAGATGACCACGTGAGCTTCAAACAAAGAAGATAACAAGCAGCCACGACAACACCCAAGCCGTGCCACCACAAAGAGAACTGAAGCCAACACAGAGACCAATCACAGGCAAGAAGCATTGTCGAGACCACCCAAAACCACAATCTGAAATGAAGCTGGCCGAACCAGTAACTGCCAAAAACTGACCTGGGAAGCCCAATCTAAGTAGAACCCAATGCAGAATTGGAAGAAACCCAAAAGCAACTGAATTCGAACCACTCCAAAAGCTGAGAGGTGCCCGAACTCAAAATCAGAGACTTCTAAAGTAGTCGGCCAAATTGAAAATACGAAAAATATGTAGAACAAATAATAAACAGCACAAAAAAATGAAAGAACTTCAGATAAAGATAATCACCGGAAAGAACTTCAGTCAACCCTATCGTTTCCGGGCAAAAGAAGCTCCAAATTTTGTCCGGTTCATCGTTACCAAGGAATGGATAAACCAAAATTACACCGTCAATTTTGATACCCGAACAGGTTTCGTCTAGCTGGCCCGAATTGCCATGTTATGAGAAAGATTGGCTCCGGCGCTGTCGTCGGAGAGGAAAATCCAATCAAAATTGGCTCAATTTCACAAAATTTGTGGGTATCGCTGCGGGTAATCATCTATTGCTAAAAAAAAAAAAAAAAAATACACTCAACAAATCGAGGAACTCATGAATCTATTTCTTCCTCAATTGATGGATTCATTCTGCGGCAAGAAAAAATATTAAAACCAACCAGAATCAGCTTAAAGAAAAAACTAACAATAAACAATTAAAAAGACCCATTCAAGATAAATAGAATCAACAAAGATAATTAATTAATTACCTATTCAAAGAAGATTGTGAAACTAACTCGTGGATTTCTAGTTGCAATGTGCTGTCATTTGAGCAAACACCAGAGATGATTACCCAAAGCATCAGGTATAAATTTTTGCAGGTGTTGGTTCAGTAATAAGGCTCGGGGATTGATTTGCACTTTTCATAAAGTTTGGGAGAATGATTGTAATTCGTTTTCTTTCCCTTTTTTTTTGTTTTATATAAATATGAGGGTATTTTAGTTATTTTACGTCAAAAAATGGTGAAAAGGATGTCCAGCGCAAAGAAAGGTACAAATAGGGGCAAAAATGTCAAAAAATGAAAGGTATGGACATTTTCCACAATAATCTCGAAAGATAGGGACGTTTTGTGCCAATTACCCTTTTTTCTTTCATTACTCTCTGGCTTTAGGGGAGATAACCTACGAAGGAGTTCATGGACCAGTACTGTAACTCTAATCTAGTCTCAGCTAGTCAGTGTAGTGCGAGTTGCCTTGCCTTCAAAGCCTCGATTCAGATCTTTGTTATTTCCGATTTTTGGGTATAGTGGCGGCAAACTAACTAACTTAGTAAAAAGGAAGCTTAAGCTAGTTTTAAGGAAAATATATTATTATTATTATTATTATTATTATTATTATTATTGATGACATCATTTATAATAAATTTTAATCGCATAATCAATAATAATAGATGAACGAATTAAAATAAAGGTACTCAAAAAGTTTTAAAATGCAAACATACATGATTAATGTTGAAGATGAAAATCAACGTTTCCAATAATTCCTTGCTCGTTATAGACAAATTAAGGATAAAGATACTCACATTGCACTTCAAAATGCATTAATTGAACATTTGTGGGATGAATAAATGAATTCCAATAATTAAATTATGACACTAGGTCGACTTTGCTGTACCATAATTTCGAAATTTGAAATATACTACGTTGTTTTCAATAACATGATTTCATATTTTCTTAGTTGTGGTATTTTTATTAATTGTAACATTTTAAAATATATTAAAAATAATTTCATATTTTCGTAAATGAAACATAATTATGCATGTAGTAATTTATGTAGTAGTAAATCGAATAAATAAATATTTTTTTAGCTATATAAATTGTTAAAAATAAAAGAAATGAAGAAAATGAATAAACACTGTTCATTTTGTGTAATGGGTTGGAAATAATTTTTAGTTTGTTGCAAAATGATGTAAATTTTGGTGTAGGGTTGGAGATGGTATTAGTGAACGGCCAAAAAAATAATAATAAAAATAAAAAATAAAATGCCTCCCTTTTTGCAATTTCAAAATGATGTAAATTTTGGTGCAAGGTTGGAGATGTAAATTTTGTGCTCCTCAAATAATTATCGGATCCCTCTGGGTTTCCGCGACTATTTAATTATTTAATCAATTTAATTTATTTTTTAAATTTGTATAATTATTTTATTTTAAAATAAATACTAATATTCATCCAAAGACATTCCACTCGAAGCCACCACACAGATCGGTACTTGAAGGCTTGAAGAGCAGTCAAAGGAAGGAAAATTTGCGAATTGACTCTTCAGTCACACACATTATGTGAGATTGATTAAAGCAGACTTGAAAGTCACAATTCCTGCTTTTCTTTTTAAATTTTGAAGAGTGAATGTAATAATTAGAAAGTGAAAAGGGGAGAAAGATGGGAAAAGGCTCCATGGATTACATACCATTTTCAAAAGAAGACAGTTCAAAGGTCATTGAAGTTTTATTAGGGGGTACTACCCAACATAGAGCTTTGTAAACATAGGACAAATTGATGAGGGAATATGTTTCTTTCTCAACACGGCCTACGTACCCAATGACTTGTAACAAATGATAGTTGATGACTGATGGTTTGTGGCGGCCAGCCATGATCAACGGTGACCCCAATGCAATAATGTAAGGCTTATATGGTACAAAGAATGGATGACCGGTGGTTGGTGGCAGCCAGCCATGGTCCCAACACAATAATTTAAGGCTTGTAGGGTGCATTGTCTTAAAACGTATGGTAAATACAATATTTAGAACGTATCTTTTATTATATAATTAAATGTGCTATTAGAAATTAGCTAGTTTGATATATTTTTAATTAATACATCAAAAAGAAAATACATAATTTACTTGTATGGTGACAAATTATATCATTTCTAACTTTTATCAATTATTATTTTTGTCAAAATCTATTTGGCGATCTTAGACTTTGTCTACATATCTACCTCTTTCGATTTTATAACAAGATCCAAGTCTAAGTTGATGGTGAGTTGAAATGTGCTTCTTCCTCACCCTCCAAACGATATTACACATATCACTAGTAGATTATTGAATTCAGTCGTCAGTCTCCAACAACTAATGACCATTCTTGACGTCATAAATTAGGTGTGTTACATGTAAGGCTTGTTGGGATCAATTTTTTTATTCATGAAATAATAAGTTTGTTTGTTTTGTTAGCCAAAAAAAATTTAGTGGTATTTTTCCATTTTTCTTTTGTAAATCCAACCACCAAGGAGGTTGAGCATTTCAAACATAAATAAAATACGTACTTATGAGGGGCACATCACACATGGGGCCTAACCTCTGGTCAATGAATATAGATCAAAGAAAACCAGCTAAGTAGTGCTATATTTCATGTGACATCTTCATGTTTCTCGCCACTATATGTTTACTTATATACTTTATTGATTCTTTATAACTGTCATTTTATTTTCCTCATGGTAATTGCTTGTCTCTCTCTATAAATCAAATTTACCATTTTATTGTTGTCATATTTTGTTAAGAAAAAATTCATTAAAAACTTAAAATTAACATAAATTACTGACTAACGAGCACTTATAAATATTAAGTGCTCTAATTATTTGAAATCTCTTTTTCTTACAAATATTTTCAACAACGCATTCTCCACAAAATCCATTTTTCACACTTTTCCATGTTTTTCTCTACTTTATAACTATGAATTTTGCTATTTGTAAACTGATTTTTAACACTTTGGTTGACATATTGTTGTTAAGTGTCAATTAGATGAAAAAATTGTTTGAAATTTAAACTGTCCAATAGGATAATGATAAGTGACAAAGTGTAAACTAATATGTACACCATAGTGTACATGTAGCAAGATTCTTATAACTATACATTATATACAAAAATCACTCTCGAACAAGCACTAAATAATATTTTAAGCCACTTGTTCTTGTTTATCTATATATATAGACATACAAATATGTATGAATATATACATATGGCGGATGGGGCACGCCTCGCACGTGGGTTGTTGAAGAATGTTTTGGAAGACTTGGTGCAATACATCATGCACGGGCCACCTCTCCATGCACCCAGGCAACCTCACCTTATAGTTATAGGTGCATCACGTGCTCTGCTCCCTCTCTCACGTGTCATTTGTCACATTTTTTGGTGCATTTCTTAGTTGCAGAGACAAAAATTAACATGCAAATGTCTTGGAACTGTTGTAAGGTTACGTTACTCAATTTTAAAAACAAAGAATATAACTAGACTTTGAAAAACAATGGTAGTCTAGACATATTGAAGAAGTTAAAATCCTTGTTTGGAATTGATTAAAATCTTGATTCTAATTTAAATTAAAATCAATAATTAATTTTAATTAACGACTTTGAAAAACAATGGTAGTCTAGACATATTGAAGAAGTTAAAATCCTTGTTTGGAATTGATTAAAATCTTGATTCTAATTTAAATTAAAATCAATAATTAATTTTAATTAACGACTTTGAAAAACAATGGTAGTCTAGACATATTGAAGAAGTTAAAATCCCTTGTTTGGTATTGATTAAAGTCTTGATTTTAATTTAAGTTAAAGTCAACAATTAATTTTAACTACAGATATCGTGAGATTCAAAAATTTTTAACCACACATTTTATCAACTTTTATCAAAATCTACTAAAAATTTCATTTTAATCCATAAGGGCAAAATTTGTTATCTTCTTTCTCTTCACGGTATATAAGCAGTGTTTAGGTTGTTGAAAAGTTGTACAATGCAATAAAGGCTCCAATATGGAAGAGAAAAAAGAAGAGAAAGGAAAATGGGAGAAAAATTGTATTTTCACTTTTATTTTTCAAAGTAGTCAGTCTTTCTCAGTTTTAGAATTTCGGAATATGTTTTTTCCCCCAATTTTAGAATTTTTCACGTGAGTTAATTGTGATTTTCTAGCATTATTTATTTTTTCATCTATTTATCTATTCTTGATTTTTTGAAGAAGGATTTTGGGGATAAATCTGAAAATAAGCCTAGATTCTCAACAAAATATTGTTTTCATATTGTCACTAATATCAATTGTAAATATTCCATAAAGATTGATATCAGTTTTGCTCAACTCACAAGTAATGACATGTATGTTGTTGGTGTTGGAAAAAATGAGTAAATGACTTGTTTTTGGCACAATTTTCGATGGTATTCGTTGGTCCAATTTGAAAGATCAAAATTGATCCATTTTCTTCTCCATGAGACATCAAAACTATATATTTACTTGCCAAAAATGAAGCTTGGGTGAATGAGATATTGGAACTTAAAGTTGACCATTGGAAGATGGTTTATGTGGGAAAATAAGATTTGTCTCACATAGGAAAAAGAAGAAAACATTAACCACTTTATATATGGCTACACATTGGAAGGGAGTAATCACGTGTAGCATATAGACTCTCTCTATGTGCACGCGTAGGGGGTGCAAATCACGAAACGAAATATCTTTCGGACCTTAAACTTGTGTGAGGGCGCGACTCGCGTCCACGAATGTCGGATCGAAGGGAGCAAAAATTAGTTCGTTTGGAGTGTCCACGTTTTGTATCTTTTTTTTTTTTTTTTTGGCTTTCTCCATCTGACTTTTGAGTTTGACTCCAATGTTTATTGCCATAGAGTGGCAGGTTTATGTTATTCCAACAATTGACACACACGAAAATCTCTCTATTTGCATCTTCTCACACTAGAAAACACACGAAATTTCACCGTTTGCATTTACAGTTTTTGCTTGGATGGTGATATTGTTCGGATACAAATAAGTTCGCTGGAGTAGTATTTGTGGTGCTCAGATTCTTCTAGTTTTATCGTTGTATCCTAAAAAATAAACGCTGGGATTAAATTCCAAGCACTTACGTTGAGGGGACAAATCTGTTTTAAGAAAACTGTGCTCGCACAGATCTCGGGTTTCTTTAATATTTTTGCAATTTATTCGTGTGTTTCATGTAATTTGCAGTTTGATTATGTTGTTGTTCTATTTATATTTATTAAAAATTAATCTGTATTATTTGGCCAGCTAGATTAATTGATCAAATTAATTTATTTATTCTATCGAAAATTAAATCTACTAGATTGTGTCTTGTTCACTGCATATACGGTGTTCTACAATTTCGGTATGTGTAAGTGCAAAAATCGGTATATCAAAATACAATATCTAAATAGGTAAAGACAATATATGCAAATACGGTAAACAGCATATACAGTAAACTACAAATACGGTAAACTGCCTGCAAATACATTAGGTTGCAAAATACGGTAAGCTGCATATACAGTAAGCTACCTACAAATACGTTAAACTATATATTGCATATACAATATATTTAAATCTGATATCTAAATTACATATACAGTATGCGCTAATCCAGTTTCATCCACCAACTTCCAATAGTTGGTACATGGTGGACAATATAAAGAAAGGTACCAGGAGGAAAAATAAAATAAAATTGATATATTGACCTTTTTTGTAGATTTTCAACCCTATTAAAGAAAGGATTAAATCTCAATCCTCGTTGAATGCTATAAAAGAATTTTTGCAATATATTAATTTAAGATTCAATTTGTGTCACAATATATTATTATTATTATTAAACTCAATTTTCAATGAAAACATAATAGATTTTTTTTTTGGCAATATATTACTTGAAGAATGAAATGTATGTTTTAATATTTACTAAATTTGGCATTTATATATATGTTTCCTATGTGTTTGTGCGTACGGAAATTGTTTTCAAATTGTCACAAGGCCTGAACACACACACGTGAATGATCTCCTAAATATTGTCGCTTAATTTATGTTAAGATCGATAACATGACACATCATTAAATTGGTGAATTATTAAGTTAATGATAGGCCCCATGTATTTAATAATTCATCAATTTAATGGTATGTCATGTCATTGGTGCTTAATATAAGTTAAACACCGATGCTTAGGAGATCATTTTCTCATGTGTGTGTATATATATTATTTTTCAATAAGCCATATAAAAATTAGTAATGTATTGAATAATATTAAACTTGCCAACAATTGAAAGAAGATTGAACAAGCTTTTTCATATCGAGGTGATATGCAAATGCCTAAAGAACTGAATGTGCAAAGTCAATCGTGCATATCTACTGTGTGATTAGTAAGTTATGAGCAAAGCATTGAGTTAAAGCAACCTATCTAAGAAGAACTCCGGTTTAACGTTCATTACAACACCAAAATCTTCTAAACTACAAATTAGCCCTTGTTTGACAAACTTTAAAAATTTAAATTGTTTGTTACAGTATCATTCATCACCACACATTCACACAATAAAATATTCTACACACGAACTAATAAAATTTTATTACTTTTTAACCACACATTTCCAGAAAAAAACTATTCAAAACTTTTTAATTTTTCAAATAATGGTTGTCAAATTGAGCCTTAATTACGTGTTAATATGGCATGTTAAAAGTGAAGTCCTAATTGTATTCCTTCTCCTTGCCTTTCACATACCGTCCCCTCTTAGGGCTTCTCTAATTGACAACTTTCATTTTTAATTTTAAAAAGAAAATGCCATTTGTACATTGATTTTTGACGATATTGTTGATGATGTTGTATGTGTCCAAAAAATATTGATTGGAAAGATTAATTATTTTTTAAACTGTCCAATAATAATATGTCGCGTGACATGTTGTCAACAATGTTGTAAAAAAGATTGTACATGAAACATGATTGATTTTGAAATACTAGACATTTCTACTTGCTTTGTAATAAAATTTATATTTCTTTTCTTAAGTAATTCATTCTAAATTCATGAGCTGAAGATTAGACTGTTTCCATTGCTACTTAGACATTGACATGGCTATTTATTGAGCATCCTTTTATTGTACTTAAAAGTTACCTTTTAAAGTATAAGCTAACATTTACTTTTTAAAAAGAGTACATTTTGTTAGTAAAAAATTAATTGAAAATCATGATTAGTGAAATGAGAAACTTATAGCAGGTTTGATCTAATTATACAAGTAAAAGGTAAGTTGGGAAAAAAAAAATATAGTGGAGTTTTGTTCAATTAAAAAACTGATTAAAATCTAAATCAAAATTAACAATTAATTTTAAACATATGTTTAATAAAATTCACAACTTTTGAACAATAGATTCAATTAAATTTTTATCAATATCTATTGAAAATATAATTTTTATTTAAATTATCAGTAATGCAATTTAATATTACTAGTGTTACAATAATAGTTTAGGTGACTTTAAGTCTCTTTTAAAATTAAATTAATCATATAATTTCATATTTAATTGAACTTATCATATAATGTCACGTACTCTGATGTTCTAGCATCACTGTGCTATATAACATTATTTTTAAATCAAACATAGCTATAATATAAGTCATTGCTTGAGCTGCTTTTTTGACCAATTTATTTTTTTAAAATTTATTTTCAATCACATATTTTTCAATAAAATAATATTACATGTAAATTCAAATTCTTTCTTTAATTTTATATCGATCCACTAATTTAAAATACATTCTTCCCCAAAGTGGGCTCATACTTTACCTTAATTTTCTATGCCCCCTCTCTTACCAGAAAGTGACCTGGAATGGATTTGAATAGTGATGGTCGCACATATGCCACCAGAAACAAACAGACCTAGCCTCTCTATTCCTACTCCCTATTCTGATTTTAACACGAGATAGGATTTCAATTTCAAGAAAAACCAAAAAAGGAAGAAAAAATTAACTCGACCTCCCGCAAGAAAGATAGAAAGGAAAAACAAAAACCAAAAACCCTTCCAGATCCGAAAATCATTTCAAAATTAAGTTCAAACACCAGTCCAGAACCACTCAAGAATCTCTCTGATCATTTCAATCCCCTTGCTGATTAATGGCGTTTTGATTTCTCCTTCCATATTCTGTTCTGGGTAAGTCTTTTTAAGTGTTGAAAAGCAATTATGTTCATCATTGCTATATTTACCTGGGGATGTGTGCAGTTATTTCATATTGGGGATAGTAATGGGTTGTTGTGAACTGGAAATGGGTTTTCTGATTTATGTTTTAAGAATTGGATCCTGGAATGGGTAAAGACTGGATCTTTGGGGGTGGCTTTGAAGATCTAGTGAGTATATTCTGCTATTCTGTTCCTTTTTTAATTTTTACCATTTGTTCTAACTTTATGTTAAGTGTCTGGGTTATTTGAGATGTTCTAACTTTATGTTAAGTGTGTGGGTTTTTTGAGATTATTGGTTGAAGCATTTGGTTAATCTGTTATTTATGTATTGTAATTAGTATCAGATTTCTTTTTCATTTTGATGATTTTATGGAAAAGGATTTTGTTTGGTTTGCCAGATAGTGGGAATAAATGAATCTATGTTTTTTAATTCTTCTTGATGCTAAAGAAGACCTGTTTTGAGTTCTGTTTAGTACTTACTGCATGCTATCTTGTTCATGAGGATTTAAATTATGTTTCATTTGATGTAATATTATAATATGCCGCATCTGGCGAGGGTTTTGTTCCATACATGCCCTCATTTGAATTAATTAAATTTCAGCACGTGTTGAAATGAGGGGCTTGATTGTTACTAAAGAACATTTCTTTTACACATATGTGACTGATACTACTTTTAAGAAATGAAGGAACATTTATTAATTATCTACTATACACAAAAGATTCATTTTAGTTGAGGTACATTCTGTTATTTTCTAAGGCTTGTGGCACGTGGGTGTTTACAAATTTTTTAGGTGCTAGAGTGAAATGGATGCCAATAATACTATATCTGATTCTGCAAATGGAGTGGAGACCAGTGTTCACCAGAAACTCCCTACCTCCGGAGAAGAAGTGACTTCTGAAAAACTGAATGAAATTCTCAATGCTGGTTTTGAACTTGGTGGATCGAGCGAGAATTTTGAAAATCTTGTGAAACCAAATGATGATGAAACCCTTGGTCGTGTACAAGATATCTCGGATGACACTAAATTGCCACCAGATAGCAATGATGTAACAATCCCCAAGGTAAGAGATTTTGAATCTTTTGCTTGGTGAAATATTTTTTACTGATTGGTTCCAAACCACGGTATGTACTTCTAGGAACTTGATGCCGAAGAATTTGGAGAGTCTAAGAATTCCAGACCACTGAAGGGCATGAACAAGGCTAAGAATGGGAAGCCTTTAAGTCAGAGACCTTCTGCAATGTCAAGGACAAACAAGAATACGGATGGAAAAGATGTGTCAAAATGTTCTGTTGCTTCAAATGGCACCCATGCATCAGAATCACAGTCTAAACAGACTTCTCTTGGAACAAAAAACAGATCAAACGAGGGGCAAGCTGCTGACCAAAGCACGAAACCAGAACCTGCTAGAGATAATGCTTACCATTCTAAGGTAAAAAGTGCATTATTCCACCTTGCAAAGATGTTTTATTTGTATATTACTGTTTGCTGTAATCTTCATTTGAACTGGGTATTGTAAATATTTGCTATATTCTCGCAGCAGACTGTACATTCTGATGCAAAACTGTCTTCCACGAGTGGCATGCAGCTTGAAGGAACTCTGTATGTTATATTTCACTAATTGTTAAATTTTCTTTTATTCTGATAGTTATTTATGTTTGATCTAGCTTTTGTACCTATATTTCTGTGTGATAGAATGCAGGAATATCTCTGGTGGGAACCTTCCAATGACATTTCCGAAATCGCGTTCTTTTATTTATCTAGAATTTCTGTTGAATTTTATGTATCACGATAACTTCTTTCCTCAGATGTCTGTGAACCGTAATTTCCTGGCTGCAGGGACAAGTCTAAACTGAAGCCACTCAAAAAAGGATCCACAAATAAAGCTGAAGAAAATTCAAAGTCCTCAATGTATCCTTTTTTATTACATAATTTTATATATTATCTCCTTTCATAAAAAGGGTTTCTCACACACACACACACACATAGTGCTACTTTTGTGATGTAACGTTGTTTATTGTTTATCCTTAAGGACATCATAGAAGTCGTACTGCTGGAGATGGCAAGCCTCACAGATTTGGTACTCTTCCGAGCTATAGTTTCAGTTTTAGATGTAATGAAAGGGCTGAAAAGAGAAGAGAGGTTAGCTTTTACATCAATACTGACTATTCTGTCTTTCCCGCATGATGTGGTCCTGAGATTTTCCTTTATTTTTGAGTAGTTCTATTCGAAACTTGAGGAAAAGATCCATGCAAAGGAAGAAGAGGAGAACAATATGCAAGCCAAGACTAAGGTGAGATTTTGGTGCTGATTCAGATTTAAAATGGTGGATATGATCATGCAAATGAGTTTTTTTTTATCTTTTCTTATTTTGCTTATGAATAGGAAACACAGGATGCTGAGATTAAAAGGTTAAGGAAAAGTCTGACATTCAAAGCCACACCAATGCCTAGCTTCTATCAGGAACCTCCACCACCAAAGGTGGAACTAAAGAAGGTCCTATATCGACACACAAATTTTAAAAGCACAATCTTTTATCTATGGCATACTCTGTGAAAATATAATTGCTAAACTAGAATATGTTGTATGGTAAATTTTAAACATACTTTTGAGCAGCCACCTTGCCTCCTCCCTGTCTCTCTATTATGTCTCTTTGCTTTTGAACTTGGTTGACTGGATTTGGATGCATGATATATTCTGATAAAATGCTGTTCATGCTAGAACCTAGTACAATTGCATCTGGATATAAAGGATGAAATCAAAAAGATCTGACCTGTTATTGAAAAGTTGTAAAAAAAAAAAACTGTGCTGTTTTCAATATAGACTAAAGAAAAAGTGTCCCCTGATTTAGCTATCCTGTCATCTCTAGGTCCTTGGCCTCCACGCACTGGTAATGAGACTTGCACTAAATCTCATGTAGCGAGACTCCTGTCATCCAAACATAGATCTAAAATTCTTCTAAATTGTGTCCTTGAGTCCAAATTTGAGTAGAAACATTGTGTTCCCAACATTGATGTTGGCATAGTGGTGGCTTTATGTGGTATGTGCAAGGTATGACAGTTTTATGAAATTGGTGTGGGGTTCTGTTAGTGTTGGTCCAGGCATTCCTGATTCCGATGTTGGCACAGGTGGTCATTTTATGATTGTTCAGTAGTGATGGTGGCATATACTTGTGTTGTGATAATGGGTGATTATTCCAAATGGAACTGGAGGTACTATGATGGTGGAATTTGGAGGCTGTCGGTTTGATATTTTGGGGCTCAAAGACGGTAATTTGGAATTTCAATAAAACATCAAATGCATGGTTGGTACACAGTATCGACCAAGGCTAGACACTCTTCTTTTTCTTCTTTAATATTGTCCAATGCTGTTAAATCCTCCCTATCAAATTTACGGTACCACAATGGCATTAGTATGCACTAACAACTGGGCCTGTGAGGAAGGTGTACCGTGGTAGTTAAGCTAATTATTATATGAATATTCATGGTGAAATATTTGTTGATATCAGAATGAGAATGTTTAGAAAGTGTTTTATGAAAATTTATAGAATTAAAATTGCATATTAACACTAGGATAAGGTATGTTAATTTGTTCTCTCTACTTCTCCCTCCCTCCTTCATTATAACATGAAATTACCTGTGCAGTCGGTTTCAAGCAGTAGTTACAATGTTTTACCTTTGGTTTAATTACCTTGTATCGATATCCTACTTTGATGTAGATACCTACGACAAGACCTAAATCTCCGAAGCTTGGTCGGAAAAAGAGTTCACCAACTACCAGTTCTGAAGAAAATGGCGATTCCAATGCCATCCTAGGTAGGCTAAGCTTGGATGAGAAACTGTCACAAAATAATCCTACCAAAGGACCTCTGGGCCATGTCAAGAATTCGTCACGAAAATCTCTTCCTCGGTTGCCTTCTGAGAAAACTACCTTATCCAATGAAAAGAGAAACGTTTTATCTCATAAGACAATTGTATCCAAGGAAACAAGTGAATTTAAGTCTCGGCTGAGCAACTTATCCCGGGAAATGAGTGAAGCTGAATCAAATATGCAAAAACAGAAGGCAGAAGTCGAACCGATCAAGAATGAACCCGTCAAAGATGACGAGCCTGTCGTTGAAGCTCAAGCTCAGATAAACCCTGTGGTGCAGGAATCTATTGTAGTCTGATACTAAATCACAGAACCAGAATGTAAATCTATTAAGTTGCCTTTCATACTCGATCTGAATAAGATTCAATCGTCCAACAATGGGGACATGAAGGACACTGTATTAAAGGTTGATGCATCGTATTATCCAGAGTCGCCTATAAGTTTAATAGTCTGATGTACATTTCAAGATTGATCTTTAGATCTGGGAAGATGATTACTGCAATATATGGTTACTTGGTCAATTTGTTGTCCTAATTTATGTTTCTGTCATCTGATGTTGAAAAGTCGAAATTTTTGAGGAATCCTTATATCCAAATGGTTCAAGATCTAAGTATTGGACTGTTTTTTATTTTGGTTTTGCAACTGCGTTGAGCTTGTATTGCATTTGATGTTCTGACTAAAAACAAATGGTTTTTTTTTTCTTTTTTCTTTTTTCTTTTTTCTTTTTTTAGTTAAGGTGTAATACATTTGTTTGCAGAACCCTCTTTTGTAATCTTTTTCTTTGTCTTTGTAATCGTCTTACTTTGGGTTCTGACCTTTTTAGAACAAGTGAATTCATGTATCACAGTCAATTCTTATTAATCTTGATTGCAGCCTTCTTGATCTAGTCATTTATTTCATTGATGTGTACTGCTTGTTTTGTCTTAGGCTGCAATGAAAAGTTCAATCAGCTGGTTAATCCTTGGGACAGAGTTCAAATTCTTAGACATTTTTTTTTTTTTTTTTTTTTTTTTTTTAACGAAAATTTAGATTACCTCATAATCTGCTCGCTTTTAGAAAACTTGAAATTTACACCTATATTTAAAGCATGAGAGATCTGATAGAGAGTCGCAAAGAAGAATGTTTTGCAATTCTCTTTTTTTCATTGTAGCGGAAAAAATGTGCAGCGGCCAAGCATTTGCTTTTTTTTTTTTTTTTTTTTTTTTTTTGTTTCAACGGAAATGTAGACTCGAATCCTATGTTTGCTCTAAACATAGACTAGCATGGAATATAGTTGAGTGATCTCATTCTAAGCATTGCACTCAATATGTATTTAGTCCTCCATCCTTTCATGAAAGTTATGATCTTATCCTTAATCAATTTTTCCTCGCATTTTTTTCCCCTCAACCGTAAAGAAATTAGCAGGCTCAGTACTACTTCACAGTTTACATCCATTTTAGTTGTTAGGTCAAATGACTCACGTGCTTTTTTACCGAAGGGTAAATTCATCGAGCCAGTTAAACTCATTTGCACTTTTTGAAAAGATTAGAAATTCCAGTTTCAATTTCAAATTTTTGTTTTTTTATGTTCTCTCATCTTTCAACGCCTAGTATTTTCTGTCAAAAAAATTTGTACATATAGCCTGATTGTAATCATGAATCCAACTTGTTCAGGCTAGAATTCATAGTGGGAGGAAAATTTAGGAACCCTAGTACCACTCTAATTAGGTGAAGATTTTAGCCTAGGAAAACGAAGTTGAGAATCACAGTTTCAACTAAAAGGTTCGAAACTTGAGGGCCCCCTCGCCTCGTCCTTGGAGCATCATGAGGGAGTAAATCGCGGAATGTGTCTTAGCAGGTCAGGAAACAAGAGTTTGCCCATACACTGATGCCTAAAAAAAGTCCAATTCCATATTTCAAGAATCAAATCTTCACACTGCGACTGTCAACAAAGCTGAGACTACCTCACTCCTATCCTTTGCACCATTAGGATATGCCCCGAGGGGCAATCACAGTTTCAACTAGTTTCTAAGACCAGGCATCATTGCTGCTGAGAAACTTTGACGAAGTATGGCTAACAAAGTTGTTCATCTGTACAAACTGATTGTTTTTATACATTCTGATATCAATTGGGGTGCAGGTAAAGAGAGATGCAATGTGTAGGAGAGCAGTTTTCTTGATTATTTTAAGTGAAAATTATAAAGTTACAGTTTCACCCTTTAAAATTAGTCAAATAAAAGGTTTAGGTATAATATGCACAAAAAAAAAAAATGTTTAGAATCGCTACTGCAATTATCTCTTTTTAATTTCCGTCGTTTGAAGTGGACTTAACACCTCAACTAACGGAAATACGGAATGGATGGTACGGGTTCTTCCGCACGGAAAAGGTCCTTTAAGAGGGTTTTCCGTCAAAATGAAAGGATAGGGGTATTTCCCCACAGAGGCAAATGTTAGTGGAGATTTGCGCTAATTACCCAAAAATCAATGGAACACACTTTAATAAAAATTAAAACTGAAAATGTAAGTGATTGCCTTTGGTGTATTTGACGCCTTTGTATTTAAAAAAAAAAAAAATGTTTGTCACTTGGTATATTTGGATGAGCGTTATTTTTTCAAATTTCTCTTTCTTATCTATTGATTATTTTGAGATACTTCTAAATTGTAATGGCCAGCTTTGCACGTCGAGTTGAGATTCTTTGTCCAAACTCTTTTTCTTCATTCTATGTGTTTAAGAATTTAATCGATGTCAAATGTCGAAGTTGTCATCTTCTATGACTGTACTAGAATTGAACAAAATTCACTTGTTTGAATCTTCTAAGCAACCTACATCAAGGTGGTAGACCACAGAAGTTACCAGTGTACTATTAATAGTACCAAACTAGATTTTTTCTACTCATAGGTTTCTGACCCCCACAAGCCAATCGATCGCAATTAGACACCTGAACTTAGCCATGAATGCCACAAGAGAACTAAGAATTTTTATTTTTTTTCAAAAAAGTGTTGGTGTACATAATTTTTATATATAGGGATATCCACATCCCTCACATAAGTTGGAGGCACGCACAGGTCCCATCACCTATAAGGAGTGTGGACACCATCTCTGTACATAAATTATGTACACCAAACACAACCTTTTTTTTTTTTTTTTTTTTTTTTTCCCTTCTACCGTTTCATTTGTAGGTAGTTAAGAGATCAAAATTAACCATAAAGTTATTCAGTAGAGGATAAGTTATGTCATTCAAATGCATCTATCCGTAAACAAGGTCACATACGACTCGAGAACATAAATTTTCCCACAGATACATCTCATGATGCATCCAATAATTATGATAAAAAAGTGATTTTTCGACGACAGATTCAATGTATATAGACTAATTCTAAGTTCAATGAACTTGGCCATGCCAGTTAATTTACAATGTCGTGCCTCCGCATCTACCAACCCAAAGAAAATTAATTTGTCAAATAATCTAAAATACTATATTTTTATGTAGGAAAAAGAAATGCAACAACAGCCCCCAACTTATATTATTCCATAGCAAGTCGCTAATCTTCAAAATGGAGCGTTTTAGTTATTAACCTTTCATAATAATTCACAGCAGTATAATCGGCATCTAAATCTACATTTTATCCATGAATCATGCACAATTTCTAATTTCTGGGCACCAATTTAAGTTGAGTAATAATATCAATTTTCATAAAATTGAATGTGAGAGCGTATCATGATTTAGCAAAGATTTAAACAATTTTCTGCGTTGACAACTTGCAGTGTAACTGTAGCGAAAACTTAAGATTAATTAGCTTATTTTTATAGATTGGATACCGACTTGCTACTGATTAGGGGGTGAACGCGATTCGATTTGGACGATTTGTGCTATATTTTCAACTCAAACCATTTTTGACGAGTTGCGATTTTTTCAAACCAAACTAAACCATTTTATTTTTCAAACCAAATCAAACCATAATTTGAGGTTTGGTTCGGTTTTAATCCGCGGTTTACCTTTCGAAATTATTATAATGTATTGAACATAGTTATATATAAGTGTAACTGAGAACTAATAATGTTAAATTATATTCATATTTACCATGAAACCCATGAATAAATTATTTTCGAAATTAGTAGTTAAAAGATGTTAATAGAACAAATACATATTTCTTCATTTTTATTAACCTTTTCTTGTTTGACATTCATATTGTTATATAGCGATTGGTAAATGTAGAATTACATTCTATTATTATAGTTTGATTAAAACTCTTTTTTCATTTTGCTAGTGAGATGTAAAGTAAAAGTTAGTAGTACTAGTTAGGGAATTTTAACATTTTCACACAATCAATACGCTTCATCATTCGTTCTTTTCAAATTAAAAAACAAGTTCATTAATCATCTAGGCCCACAAACAATCATTTTTGCTATCAAAACCACAACTCACATGTATATAATAAGTTCAAAAAAACAAACAAAAGAAAGAGCAATGAAAAATGAGTTGAATAAGAATTTAAGACTTATCGAAAGAGAAGAGAGAAAAAAGGCGATTCAGGTAAAGATTAATAGAATAATAGGCAAAGGTGACTGACGATTCATTTAGTAGTGGTAGACAAACTTTATATGTTAAGGAAATGAGAGCTTATGTTAGGGTTTTTGAAAATTTGAACGTGATTTACTGATGTGGTTATCTTAAATTATGATTTGGATAGTTGAAAATATGTTTTTTTTCATTTCACATGATTTTGAAATAATTTTAATTTAGTTTAGATATCGGGTGAGGACATGTGTTATGAACCTATTAAATCATAGGCTAATAATTATGAATTTAATTTACTTTTTATGATTATTTCAATAGGCTAGTTATAATTTGTATTGCTAAATTGATATTTTTTTTTTGAAAAGTGAAACTGTAAAATTTTTTAAGTTAATAAAATTAGTTTTTTATTAAAAAAATTGAAAACGGTTCGGTTTGATTTTTTGCGGTTTTTGAAAATCAAAATCTAAACCAAACCATTTCAAAATGGTTTGGTTCAATTTGAGGGAAAAGAAACCAAGGGTCCATGTAGACCCAAACCAACGATTTCAACTCAACAGTTTCGATTCGATTTGCGGTTTCGCGATTTTTTTGTGCAGCCCTACTACTGATCAACCAATAAGATGGAAACTAGTAGTTCCATTTTTCATTTTCACGTACATGAATATTCATCAGCTGCTTGGTCTAGCGACCTTTTTTAAAAAATGTGTGTGTGTGTGTGGGGCTTCCATGTCAAAAATTGTATAGTTTGATAGGACGACTAGTTCGTAATTGTACCGTTGACTTGGTGGAGTTCTTGGCAGTGACTGAAGATCAAACAAATCTATGATGCATTCTTTTCCAATATATATTACCAGCCCCTGATTCTTCTACTGTCCCTACCCAGTTTAAATTATTTATATGTAATACACTTGACTCTTGAACTAGGTTCTATTTTCCGGCCACATTCATTGGCCTGCGCCCTTAAACCTAAACAAGAATATGCCCATCACAAGTCTGTGGTCTTCACCATCACCATTATGTTCTTATATACTCATATCTCATTACCATAATTACGACAGAACTATATGAGCATAAACTGCCATCAGGTCGTCTTCACTTCAATCATATTCTTTTTCAAAAGGGATAAAGCACCATTAAAGTTTAAAGATTAAAAACAATAGAGAATGATGGGAATCCCTGTGAAATTCAAAAGGCTGGCGGCTGTTTTTGAAGAAGCGGCGGCGAAAAATAGAGAGTGTGAGAGCAGCGGCAGCGAGCACTCGCCGGAAAGCTTGACGGATTTGTCTGATCTTGTGAATTCATTTCTTGAGAGAGAAGAGGGAGAGGCTGAAGAGAATGATCGAGAGAGAGAGGTTGAATCTGAACTGGAAAACAATTGCCACGCAGATTTTGAATTGTTGAAAAATGATTTGGAAAGTTTATTAGACTCTGATGAGGAGGATAGCATTACAAGAAACATTCATGCAGAGGTTGAAGAGGCCTGTCTTGAGATCGGTAATAGCTCGTTGCCGGATTTTAAACGCCGTTTAATGGCTCGGTTGCGTCTCAGAGGTTTTGACGCGGGTGAGTCTCCATTTTCTTCAATTCAAAAGGCTAAAATTTTGTTGATGTTGAATCTTCGTAGCAAACATGCCCTTATTCCTTGAATTCTAATTAAATAGGTCTTTGCAAATCAAAGTGGGAGAAAACGGGTGGCTGCCCATCTGGGGATTATGAATACATTGACGCATATGTTTCTGGTACTCGTTTCATAGTGGAAGTTTTCCTCGCTGGAGAATTCACAATAGCACGTCCAACAAGCAGTTACACCTCGCTGCTTGAAGTTTTTCCATCAATATATGTTGGCAAAGTGGGTAGGTTCAAGAAAGTGGTGAAATTAATGTGCAGGGCCATGAGGAAGTCATTGAAAACAAATGGCCTCCACCTGCCGCCATGGCGGCGGCTAGCTTACTTGCAGGCCAAGTGGTTTGGTTCCTACAAAAGAACCATTAATGAAATTCCAGGCCGGACTGTATCTGATTCCGATGAGGGTCTATCTCAGAAGAGATTGATCGGGTTCGTTCCGGTGCAGGTGATTGTTACAAATGCAGGGAGGATTTAGGTAGTAGGGTTGATGGGAGAGTTAGCAACTTGGCTGCGTCAATCTGGCCATTCAATTCAAGGCTGCCTTAAGCTATACATATGCATACATTGGATTTATCTGTTATAATTTGTTTGCATGTAATCCATTTCTAGAAATTATCGCATGTGCAGCTAAAAATTAGAATTTTAATAGATTTTAATAAAAGTTAATAAAAATCGTGAGGACATTTCCAATGGGACACATCAAATATAATCTCCTCCAACGGTATCTCAAATATAATGTAAAAGGTTGTGTAAATGAATGGTGTTACCTCAATAAAATATAAGAGAAATGAATAGCATTACTCCAAATATAAGAATTTTGATTTAACCCCATTTTGCCCTTTTTACACTTTATAAAAATTGTTTCTTCCATCTATGTCCCTATTTTTTTTCTAACATTTTAGTATTAATAGATTTTAATTGATTTCTAATTAGTTTAATATATATAATGGTTGTTCATATTTAACATTTATTTTTAAATTCTAATCAATTAATAAGTAGAGTAATGCTAAAGGAATAAATTCAAAACCAGATTAGAAAACAGGTTGAACAAGTGTCAATACACTATTGGAGAGTTTGAAGGGGGGGGGGGGGGGGGG